TTGTTGCTTATATCAATAGTAATTAGTAATTGTGTTGGGGATTCAGAAGATAGAAAGAACACTTCAAGCTATGTGTTCCTTATGATTTTAAGAACAATATGTTGGTCTTTAAAGATGCAATCTGTAGTTAGTATCCCAATTATAATAGTTTGATGGAAGGGAATGTTAGGTAAACTAGATTGAACTTAATACAAAATAACTATCACTCAATGTGATAATAGTTCTATAATTAAGCTTTCAAAGAATTTAGTCCTACATTGTCATAGCCAACACATAGATGTGTGTTTTCATATTTTTTTTTTAACTTACAAAAGTTCTTATTGTGAAATTTGTGTATTGTGACACAAAAATAATTAGAAGATATAATGACTAAGTCATTCAAGCATGTGCCTTCTTGAAACTTAAAGGACTTTTAAGGGTATGTTTTGAAATTGAATCAATATAAATTGAATATTTAATATCATTTAGTTTGATGAGCAATTATTAGGTTTATTTTAAATATTTTATTTGAGTTATTTTTAGGAGGTTAAGTATAACATATTTAAAAGTGGTAACAATTATATTTTATTGTTTCAATTTTTTATGTAAGGCATATATATTTTCAAACCAGTTATTTAATATTGATATTTATGTTTTTTCTTTAGATTTTCTTCTTTATGTATTTAGTTGATCCAATAAGAAACTTATTTCTTATCTAGAGACATACATAACTAGATCATAAAATAATAAATATTTTTGGAGGATGAAATTTCTACAAGGCTAACATTGACTACAATCCAAGATATATTCATTGACGAGCATCTTGGGTTCCCAAATTTCAGTAAGATGTAAAAAAAGATGACCTATTAGAAATTGAATTAGAGGTCAAATATTTGGTTACATAAATATCACAAGAGTGTTAAAAAGAAGTTTTACAATTTAATGATACATATGAGTCACTTTACAATTAAACTTTATTAAATTTACCATAAAATAAAATATGTTAACCTAGGTTATGAGAATGAATCGTCATATTCAGTTTGATTTTATAGGTCAAATAAAAAAAATTACCGGTCTAATTTGATTTATATTTTAAAGATCATAAATTTTTTTTGTCTAAGATGATTTTATATTAGATGAACAATCCAACATATAATTTTATGTCAAATTAAAATTACTTTAAAAACTTATAGCTTATTTATATAAAAATAATTTGCTACAAAAGTTAGTATAATTTTTTAAAATAAAAATATATTTCAAAACTTAAGTTATATTAATGAAATTAATTTGAATGTTAGATATAATAATTTTATATGTATATATATATATATATATAATATTATTTTAATTAAATATTTATTATTATTTTATAAAATAAAATAAGTGACAAGCTTGTGTATAAATTCTTTTAAGTCTATTGTGGTCACAAGCTAAATAAATCGTACAAAAATTGATCTAGTTTAATTTAGGTCACAATTTTTGTTGTTGGATAACCTATTGAAAATGACTTATTTATTTTGATACCCCTCTATACCTAGAGGATTATGCAAATCTTAATCATTTATATCACATGGGGACGATACATGCATTTAGGATTTTAGCAAAGATGATAAATATAGTGTAAATCGCTAAAATTGGACTATTTGACTTTATAATAAAATAAAAGAAATGGACCAATAGAGTTTATAAAATATATAGGTACTTTTAAAGACGAAGGTCTTTATATACAGAGACAAATGGAGAACAGACTAGGGAGAGAATTAATTAATATATATAATTTAAAAAAAATTAGGAATGACTATGACATCTTGAAACCATATCTGGCTTTGCCATTTTTTGTATGGACAACATGAAACATTGTTTATCTATTCAGGTTTAATTAAGGAAAAAAATGAATTGTGTATGAATGTGTACTTTGTAAGACTAGGATAATAAAACGCATCAGCCCTCAATTTTTATATGTATCTTTTTAAAATATACCTTTAATTATATGAATATTTTTTAAGTTTTTATTTATTAATTAATACTTTTATTATTAGATAAATTGAAAAATATTATATTTATGTGTTAAAATAGCTAATTATAATCAATAATTTAAACTTAATTGATTAATTTTTATAATTTAAATTATAATATTATAATATATTTACATATTTCAATAATATAATATAAAAAATAATATTTTTAATTATAGTATTTTTATTTTTATTTTAATATATAAATATTTTTTTAAAGCAAGTCGACACTGTTCCGCCCACCCATACGCCCTTGACTTCATCGAATTGGCGGGTAAGGTGGAGCAGGCCAAAACGGACTGGAGGCTAAAACCACCAACCTAGCTTGTCATTTTTTAGTTTTCCCTTCCTATGTAATACTAACATAAATAACTATTATGATAATTGTAGGTTAGTCATATGGATTTAATTAATACATACTATAACAACATTGAATTTTTTTTAGATATATTGCAATCCACAATGAGAAAGGGATGGTAAGGAATTAAGAGTTTGTGATGTAAATCTTAAATATATGGACGAGCATAAATGAATATGTATGATAGGAGAGACAATTGCGTATCTATCAAGCAATGTAGTAGGCAAAACAAGTGTTTCAAGATTAACAAAGTGCATATGGTGGAAAGGAAGTGTTGGAAAGAGGGAGAGGTAGACAATTATGACCAATTATAGATATACAAGGACCCTTCCACTTTTGATAATGATAAAGTGCAATGTTTATAAACAACAAGAAACATATAATAAGCATGATTGAAGGGTAAATTGATGAATTAAAGCTTTTCAAAAAACGTGTATAACATAAGATTGAATTATTAGAGATAAAAGATAAATTTAAACTTAACAACAAAATAACATAAGAATAATGAAACATGACATCTCAAATATTGTATTACAAAACTATTTATCCTATATATAGGACCATTCAAAAAAATTATAAAATGTTATCATATACTAACTTCTAATCAAGAAAATTGAACTTTATCATTTAAGTCTACATGCAATTATTATTATTTCTTGATACCTTTCACAATCTAGAGGTCTAAAGATGTCAATGGGATCCGACTTAGAAAAAATATCAAGTATATTAAACTAATACAAAATAGATAACAGACGTTGCAGTTTAACGATGGTTATATATAAACTATTGTTGAAAAAGATATGCTAACATTTTTAATTATTTTTTACTTTTTAATGATAATTCATTTGTAACCATTATCATAGGTAACATATGAAGATGATTATAATAACAATAATCATCGTATATCACACATAACATACGATGACAGTTATAACTAGAATCTTAGTTGTATATTTCAATGTATTTTTTACTTTTTGCTAATTCTATTCATTTCTTTTGTGCATCCTAATCTTTGTTTCTTCTCTTCCATTGTTTATTCATCTATTCTTCATTTCTTCATCACGATTTGACTCTCCTCCAATTTTTACTCTTTGTCGTTACCTCGATAATAGGAAGAAAATAATTGAGGGAGAAGACGAATTACACAAGTTGAAGATAGAGGACGAATCGAAGGTGGAGAATAAGTTAGATAATGTTCAGTTAAAGATATATTATATATAAATGTCAAAACATTCATTGTCATTGACATCAATGATAAAAAAACAGTGAACATTCTAAATTCTAAATATGTTACGATAGAACAAGACCTATGATAGAGAATATATGATAATAGTTATATTTATAATCATTATTATTAGTAACTTAAATTGACCTGTGAAAATCATCATCAATTTACAAATTTTAATAATGTCAATTATAAAACAATTTTTATATGTTTTTTTTAACCATTGTTAAATTATTTGTTTACAACATTGTTAAATATTATTTTTACACTTACAAATACAATAAAATTATATTATAATATATTACAATACTTATTAAATGCAACATTTTTAAATCATATAATAAATAAAACACTTAATGTTTAAATATAGTTATTTTAATATGTATAAAAATTATTAGATATAATGATAAAACATGTTTAATATGATTATATTTATATAAAAATATTTTAATTTAAATTACGATAATTTTCAAGATTTATTTAAAAAAAAATTTAGTGCATGAGATGAGAAGAATCCAATTTTGAATCTAACATCGTTGACGCAACATTTTTTTCCTAATAATGTGAAGATGAGAGTCATGCCTAAATAACACAAAGTGTTGTTTTTTTAGAGTGAAATAAGTATTAATCTCTAAATTAAATGTAAGTTTTTTAAAATGTTTTCTCAAGTATTTATGAAATGAAAATAAATTTATGAAAGAATATCATATTTGATGATGATATGAGATGAACAAAAGTTAAATTTTTGTGAAAATTTATGAATAATAGAATTTTATTACAACCAATAGCATGAATTAAGTTATTGTAATTAAATAAAATTTTGACATCAATATTTTATACACACTAGTGTACGTTTATTTATGTGATTAAACAAAAATGAGGATATAGATGGCAAGACCAAAAACTAAGTGAGATTCATCATCTGATCACAAATAAAGACGGAGAATATAAATGTTACAATTTTTATTGTAAAATATTCTAATTTTAATAAATTAATAATTTTAATCCAGTCATTAACGTGATGGTTCTAATTATTATTATCTAACCATTTTATTTAATTTGTTATATATAAATCATAAAAACAATGTTGAAACAATATTAATCGTTTTAAAATAAATCAATATTTTTAATATAAACATCAAACACAATATTGATAATATTTAATAAGCAATTTCTTAATTTAAATAAAAAAATAAATTATTATTTTTTGTTGTCTCAGCTTTTTAGATTAATTTTATAATTTATTTGAACCTATGTCGATCTTATCTGATAGATGGGTGCGGTCTTCGAAACTCTAGTCCAAAAAAGAAATTGAGCCACTAATTCCAAAGCAAAATGTTAAAACGACGTCGTGAGAGAAGTGGATAAGAGTAGAGTCTCTGGAAACTCAGACAGAAGCAAAACAGGAAAGGAGAAAAGAAGAATGGAGAAGTATTTCGGAAACGCTTATCGCGGTGACCCGGGCGTGCCCCATGCGGACCCGGATCGGTTCTTCTGCATTTGGATCGGATCCGCGGCGTTCTCTGTTCTTACCTACTTCAATCCCTATATGTGGCAGCTCTCTAATCAGTTCAAGTACCACTCTCTTACTTTCTTTGTTGGTGTTCTTCTCAATTATTTCAAACTTCGATTATAGACGCGACCGTACGATTGAATTAGTGTTATGTTTTATTGATAGTGAAACATCTTTTCGATTACTGATATTTTGCTAGGGTTTACTCTTCAGTGCACAGTGAATACAATATATAATATATATGCATTTGATTATTGAAATAATTTAATTTTTGCAGTTATTCCAAAATACCCTTAGGTTTCACTTAGCTTGTTATGGGATATGTGGAACTACAATGACGATTTGGAGTGCATTCTTTAGCCAAATAAATATGGGGTGCATTGTTTAGTCATTTGCAGAAGTAACAGTTAAGGAGCTTTATAATGTTAGAGGGTATAGTCCCTTATAATGTATGTGTCGCTTATATTTACACCCAAGAATTTGAAGTGATTTAGGGTTTCTCCATAAGCACTTCTAAAGGAGAGAGAAAGAAAAAAAAAAAAAAAAAGGAAAGAAAAAATTAACTTATGCATAAGTTAAAACTTATCCATAAGTTAAAACCTATCCATAAGTTAAAAATACAAATTTAGATAAGTTATTAGGGCACATAGTTTTTCCATTAGCGTTTCTAAAGAAGAAAAATAAAAATAAGAAGAAAATATGGAAAGTAAAAATTAACTTATGTATAAGATACATAAGTTAAAAGTACAATTTAGATAAGTTACATGGGAGAGCTTCTACAGATTGCGCACAAAAAGTGTAAGCTAATTTCAGCTTATGGACAAGATAATTTCAAATTTTTTTTCTTATTTTTTCCTCCTAAAAGTGTATATAAGAAATTCATCCAAACATGTTCTTAGTCTCCTGGTATATTGTTGGGTTTACCTATTGAATGAAGCGGTTTGCTATGGACTGGAGGCTGATTCTAATTCACAAAATTTAGGTTTTCTAGTCATGCATTCGTGCTTGTCTTTAGTTGTATTGTATGTATGTATACAGCAAGGTGTTTGTTTTCATGATGCTGTTGGGGGTCCTACACTTGTTCTTTGAGGTATTTGGTTTTTGCTTTATGATTGTCACCTTGATGCTTATTGTTTACTCCAATGCCATTTTTCTGTCCCATTCTTTTCTTCAATATCACAAATGCTAGCATACATAATGGGGGAGAAAAGGCCCCCCTGTCCAATATACTTCATTTTTCTCTCCTTTCCTCCCTCCCGTTGTAAACCTTATGGTTTGACAGAGATATGAAGGGAGTTATGTTCAGGTTTGAATACAACTATGAAGAAAGAATTTCATGTTCATATTTTACAAAGATGAGTTAAAAGGTGAAAATGGAACTGGAATATAATGTATGCTACTAGATTTTCAGGAAGAAATTGAAACAGGAAAAATAAAAAGACTCATCTATTTATTTACGCATGTTTTGTGGGAGATAGAATTATAGCTATTATTTGCTTTAATGTCAATTTAGTCTTCTTCTCTGGTTTTGCCCACCTTATCCTGTTTATGATAGTTGAGTTGAGTTGACCCTCTGCTTGCATCATTTCTCTCCTTTAATTATTTATGGTTTGATCTTTTGAAGCTTTCTTTTGCATTAATTCATTTTTGCATTGCATATTCTAAGATCGTTTAATGTGCAGTTGGCATGATAAAGCATTTTTGTATGAGCAATATCACTGGAAACAGGCAAAGAAGAAGAATCAGCCATATGAGTTCTTGGTATGCTAGTTTACTGAACCTAATTTTTCTTGAGAGCTTTAGCTGAGGAGAGCTGATACTTTTGTTTACTTTGAGCTTTATTTAATATGAGGAACTAATTATCTGTTAAAAAAATTGTGTTGTTGCAGTGGAACAAGACTTGGGATAAGGTTCACCGGGAACATTACTACTACAATTGGCCTATTTACTTCCCTTAGGCCCCTTCTGTACCATTTCTTCAGATTTGTCCTATCTTTATTTTGGTTGCAAACCTGGATCAGACTGTTGTCCCCCCCACCCCACTCAAATACTTTTCTCTCATGAATTGAAAAACTAGTACAAGGATGTTTTTCTTATGTTCAGTCCTCTTTCTTAATAGCTACATAATTATTCCAATTAAAAACTGTCTGAGATAAAAATAATGACAGAAGCAGCAGTCCAGGGTATGGTTGTTACTTGTCAATGGCGTAACAAACTGTATTCAATTGTTGTGATGGAATTAGAGCAGGTTCTGATGACCTCCTATGGGGTTTATAGAAGCCACTTACACCCTACTTTGAAGATGATAATGTTTCATTCTTTCAGGGGTAAAAATTTTAAATATGGTTGTAAACTCGTGAGTTAATTCGTTGACTCGAATGAGTTAATGAGTCAAATAAGTCAAATAACCGGTACGAGTTAACTCGTGAGTAGACTCGTTTTAGAGTAGATTTGGAGTCAAATTCGGTGGATTTTGAGTAAAGTTGGGAGTTAGAGGTGAGTCAGTGAATTTGAAGGAAAAAAAACTTGTATTTTTTTTTTTCTTATTTATGCTTATAATCTTGTTTCTTTTTATTGTTTGTCGTTGCTTATCGTCGGTGGTTGTCGTGATGTGCTTGTCTTTGGTTGCGCGCCATGCTCGTTTAAGTTGTGCACATTCACTTGGATCGCGCATTGGTCACATAGTGGTTGCACGGTGGTCGTGCGACATTCATCTGGGTCGCATTCTTTGCAGTTGTTTGTCGTTCTTTGCAGTTGTTTGTCGTTGTTCAACGTACTCTAGGTTAGATTGAGGAATTTGAGATTTTAGGATTTTCGAATAGATCGAACCGATTAGATTGAGGAATTGAAATATTTGAAATTTTAGGATTTCAAATAAATGGAGAGATTTTAGATATTCAGACTTTTTTATTTTGATTATATTATTATACAAATTTAATTATTTTTTATTATTTTATTAATAAAAAATTAATATTATTATATTTATTATTAAATTGATATTTTTTATATGAATAAATTTTTATGAGTCTATAAGTTGAATTTATCAATTTTTTTATGAATTTAAGTAGAATTTCGAAGTTAGTACACTTTCGAGAGGTTCTCGAGTTTGATTTTTTATGAATTTAAGGAGATTTTTGAATTTAAGTAGACTTTCGAGTTTAAAGAGATTCTCAGAGTCTAATATAATCTGGCTGTAATTTTCTGCATACTTGACTTGTAAAAAGGTGGAAGGCTGCTCTTAACATCAAATGAAAGAGGTTTTTTTGCATTTGCTTAAACTTAAGGATTGTGGAGTCCTATAATAAATTAGAATAAAAAAATAAAATTCAATTGAATATTTTCTAGTGTGAAGACTAGGGGTTTTAGACTTGGAAGAATAATTTCCAAAATTTTCAAGTGACTGGATCAATTCTATCGAAAAAAAAGTAACTGGATATCATGTTATGGGTATAAAGTATCTACTATTTTGCAATAATAATTTTTGTTGGAGATATTTAAATTCTAAATTTTATGTAAGAGTTTATTTACATCAACGTCATAATATAACATTGACTACTACAGCCACTGTTTATTTGTTAAATTAAAATTAAAAATTAAAAATAAAAACTTAAAGATTACGACCAGTATTATGTATTTTTTAAGTTATTTTAACCACTTTCAAAAAACAAAGTTCTTTTAACCAAAAATTATAAAGAAAATAAAAACTCAAAACGAAGCGATATGGTAATAGTTCTTTAACTTCAGCCATTGTTTTTAAAGTGGCAATGGCTGCTCTTAGATTAAAATCTCCGTGAAGAAATTTAGTTATTATTGTTTCTGGTGAAATTTTGATTCTTAAGAGGCTTTCATTCTAACAAAAACTCAACCACATAGGTTCTTTATACTTAGGCTAGCAACTGAATTTCAATCGAAATGCGTATGAGAATCGAAAGTACCACTGTATAGAAAATACTAAGATTAATAATCGAAAGCACTATTTTTGGTATTTTGTATTTGAAGTACTCGAAATAAGGAAAACAGTAAAGTGATAAATCGAAAAACGGTGCCGAATGTAAAACTGCGAAGAAATATTAAATTGCAGAAAATGTAAAGTGCAGAAACCTTAAAATTTGCATTAAAGGTAACTTGCAAGGAACCGAAAATTGCAGGATTGTAAATAAAAATCTAACTTTGCAGAAAAATAGACAACAGGAAATCGAAATTGCACAAACGGTAAATGACAAGTGATCGAAATCTCGGAAATGTAAATAGTAGGAAATCGAAATTGTGTTAATATAAATGACAAGGAATTTTAAAGCAGAAACTTAACTTTCATTAAAGAGAAATGACAAGAAATCGAAAATACAGAAACTTAAAGTTACTAAACATAAACTGCATCAAAGTAAATTACCAGGAAAAATAAAGAAAGCGGTAAAGGTAATCAATGAACATGGAAATCCAGATCGCCAGAAACTTCATGATGTTCGTCGTTCTCCGGTAGACTCCTCACTAGTGTTTCTGTTCTTCTCTGCCAATTTTCCACCCCCCTCCCCTTTTCATCTTTCGCTCTATTTATAGATCATCTTTCAAGTAGCCTTTTCAAGTAGCCTCTTAGGAGCAGTTAACGAAAACTGCTACCACGTTCTTCGTGCACGTTGCAGTTTCTTCTTCTGTGGTGTCAAAACTGCACCCACGTTCCCATGATCTTCGACTTCTGCCACAATTTAGAAACTGCTTCCTATGTGCGCATTTAACTATTCTTCTCTTTATGATCTGGCCAAGATTTCGATATTTACGCATGTTAGCCTTCCCCTCAATTTCGATTTTAAAATCTCGAGAACTTTGAATTTGCTTTCGATTCCCCTTAACCTTAACGTCATATACTTCTAATTTCTTGGTTTTATTCAACAAATAGACCTTTAACTATTATTCCTTCGATTCTCGATTCTAACTCTCGATTTTATGTGCCACGCACTTCTAATTAGACATCGAATGGTTTTTCATCCATCTTTTCGATTCATCAATCAATCACATGTTTCTCGATTTTTTCTTTCCTTCGTTTTTCGATCACTTTTCTCGATTTTCCACTAACAAAAATGCCCCCTTGGAAGAATATAAATAGTTTCCGTTTATATTCTTTCAACATGATTCCCGCCTTGGTGTTCGGAGGCCCATAAAACTTAGGGTTTAGGGTTTCTGGGGTTTTAGGGTTTACAGGGTTTTTAGGTTTCTTTTTGTTTTATGTCGCCATCGCGTCAGTCTGCTGCCTTACTGTACACGCCACATTAATTACCCTTCGCCTCCGTCGTTTCCAGTACCCTAGGTGGCTTTTCCTTTAAACACCTCGTTAGTCTTTTACCCTGGTTTTTTACGCGAACTTTTTACTTCTCCTTTGCAACTTCATCTTCTACTTTGCGCCTTTGTCTTCAACCTTGCATCCTCACCTTCTATCCTCTGCTTTCCTCTACTCTCCTGAAATGGCAACCTTTTCCAAATCTTCTGATTTTTCGGCCCCACCCCTTCCCTCGTTGGCGTCTAGCCTGCTGGAGATCAATAATCAGAAGTTTGCTCCAGTTCCTCTAATGGAGGAGGCTTCTCAAAAGGTCGCTGAGACGCAGGTACTTATCCCTTATACTGCTGATGGTATCAATTTTGCTTTTGGGGGTCCTATTCGTTCTTGTGGTGGAACTTTTCCTTCCCTCAACCTTTCTTCAAAGAGCCGGGTTCTCATTCACCAATCTGAAATTCAAATTGATTTCTTGAATAACGTCTCTAGAGTATACCGAACGGGCCCCCCTTCCAAAAAATCCTTGTACATTAGGTGGTTTGATAGGGTTAAGGCTAAGTTTGAGAACCATTGGATGGATGTGGGGATTTTCGATTTTTTGCATTTGTCTCGATGCGACTTGTCATTTTTGGATATGACTATGTTTCTATCTGCGGTACATTTGTGGAATAAAGACCTACATGCGTTAGAACTCCCTTGTGGTCCCCTTTCGCCCACCCTGTTCGAAGTCGTTGCAATTACTGGTCTGAAACCCTCAGGGGAGAAGTATTATAAGGGTGCTTTCCCTTCAGATAATTCCCTAAGGTCCAAAATCGATTGGGAATCGAAAGCCTATGGTCATTTTCTCGAGAAGCATTTTGTCGATGACCCAATTGTTGCTGTTTCAGATGAGGAGCACATTGCCTTTTTGGTGTACTGGTTATGCACTCATGTCTTCTGCCCCCGATCCATCCAAATTTCGTCCCACCTTTACAACCTTGCGTATCTCCTTCATACCGGCCAGCCTAGAGTTTGTCTAGCCAAATTTTTGTTAGCCCATGTATATACTACTTTCGATGAGGCCGTCGAAATTTTGAGTACCCCCAAGGCTTCAGGAAACTTTTCGGGTCCCATTTGGTTTATCCAACTATGGCTGAACTCGATTTTCGAGAGTATCCTTCCTCCAACCTCTAACATCCCCTCAAGTGTAAATATAGAGGGCGCTCGATTAGTTTCTCGACATCCCCACCACAAGCCTGACGAGGCAACTTATTGCAAATACCTTAGATTTTTGTTAACTCGGTTTTATTTTGATTCGACTTTGGCTCCTTTTACTGTGCATCTTGGACGACTAAATGACCAACTTCGAGGGTCAACTTGGTTTAAGTCAAAATTCCCTGCCTTAACTCCTGGGTTACAATCAGAGCTGGTCGATGTGTGGAGTAATTATTTGACTCAGGATGTATTAGTATCGAGTTTTCACTCCAAGGATTTCAAGCTTGTCAGCTATTACCCCCAACTTTTTTCGAGACAAATTGGTTTGAGTCAATCTTTACCTTTTTTCCCCTTCGATACCTCCCCTAGGTCCAAGTTAAGTGAATCGACAATTGGACGGGAGCTTACCAGACTGCTACCAAAAACCCCGATGCATTTTTATCCCTATGCTTTTGAATCTAATTATTTATCAACTGTGGGTTTCTCTCAATGGTGGAC